ATATTTAGGGCATTTTGTCATTGACCTTGTTATGCCGTCGTGTGTCGTCTGTCGTTGGGACAGGGGCACGGCAGGAATTTTCCCCACTTGGCTGATTGGCTGTTGCCATTTGGGTTTTGCCTGCCGCGTAGCAATTCGTCACAACTTGTAAGGTTGGGGATAGGCGATAGGGATAGGTGATAGGGATGGGAGAACGGTCTCACCATCCCTATGTGAAGGGTATTCCGTTAAAGGAATCCAGGGACTCAACTTGGTTTGGTCAACCCCCGAGAGGGGGTTGTGCCCATGCCTGAGTCCAGGGGAGCATCTGGGGAGTGGACATAGTCTGTTCCTGGGCTTTCTGCCTACCTCAGGTGTTCACCCTTGGCTGATATGATAGCGCTCTGGGTCAGCGGTACCTGCAAGGGTGCAGGGAGCTAGTCGAACCAGAGTCTATGAAACCGCTCACTTTTCTGTAATCAATAAAGTTGTGGCCTAAATTCTGCCAAAAACCAAAACTAAAATTTGAGTCAAAAGTGTTTTTATTTAGGGGGGAGGTCTCTGGGTCTGAACACGCAAATGCTATTTTCACTAATACATTGTTATAGGTCTGTGGCGAGTGGAACTAAATGCTTGGGTTTAATAAATGTTAGACTTTAATTAGAACTGGTACATTAAAACAGGATTTCAGACTCTTCTCTCTTAAGATAGACCCATCTGTGTATTAGGTCATATGTGAGACCCACTTCAAAGCCCCTGGAATTAGCATATGTGAAGAATTAACCTAGACAAACTCCCTAACTTGTGCATCAGCCACCCTCTTTAATCAACACTTGTAAAAGCTAATTTCTTTGATGTAATAGTCTGTAATGAACTGTTAGCACAAGAAAGCACAAAAGAACTAAGTGTGAGGATACACGTGGGTGGGGCCTTTCTGTGTGTTACAAAAGACCAGGGCTCAAGATAACAAGTTTAGAACAGGTGGGATGTGACCTTTCTCAGGAAGAGGCAGGCTGCCATCGCAAGGATACTGCTGTGCTTATGAGAGGAACAGAACCTCTTGGGGTAGGAATGCTGTGAACCCTTCCATAGAGCATCCTTTTGTGGTCAACAAAAGAGGTTTAAAGACTGTCTCAAGGCAAATCTAAAAAAAATGTAGTATAATGACCAAGAATTGGGAAACACTTGCCTGCGAGCACTCCAATTGGAGAATAGCCTTTACCAAAGGTGTCGTGGGATTTGAAGACACTTGAATTCAGGACACAAGGGAGAAACATGCTAAGAGGAAGGCACGCTTGGCAAATCCACACCGTAATCAACTCCCACTCGGAAACCTATGTCCCCACTGTGGAAGGACATGTGGATCCAGAATTGTCCTCCACAATCACTTACGGATGCACTGTTAAGACTGTGTTCATGGAAGACAATCTTACTCAGCTACGAGTGATCGCCGAAGAAGAAGAAGAAGAAGAAGAAGAAGAAGAAGAAGATCCTGATAACGCAGGGTTACTTGTGTCTAAGCACATTCAGCTGAATGCACACGGATGCTTCCTTTAGACCTTACAACTGAAGCTGCAAGGGCAGATGTTGAACAAACATGGGTGTTTGGAATAGGGCTGTTGTGCGTGACTCCACATCTCCTACACGTGTTGGAAATGACTTATTCAGGCATGATTTGTTTCAATGCATTTGAGTCACAGCTTTTCTGAACTTGCTGGGAAAAAACCCTAATGTCATGGATTGCACCTTGTGCCCAAGGCTTGGGAGTCTCCCTGAAATGTATGCTCCAATGGTGATCGCTCAGGGGCTGCACATTTTCTCCTGTGATTATTATCGCCCAGGACTTGGATGAGGCAGGGGGAAATCAACTTTTCAGGGGCAGCAGAAAATGATAAAGGGAATACATTAAGGACCATCACCTCACATGTCCAAATATTACAAGTCAGGAGATAACAATTTCCAGGACATTAACCAATAAAGGTAGCCCATCAATAGTCAACTTGTTATGGAAAAGTTGTATGTTATATTGATGATACCATTGTGATACTACAGAAGCAGAAGCAGTGCTGTGGGTTGCGAATGTGATCCATGTGGGAGGCACGTTCACAACCCACAGCGTTCGCAACCCACAGCACTGCTTCTGCACATGCGCATGTGCGGGTCGCCATTTGGCACTTCTGCGCATGTGCAAAGTGCAAATATGTATCTGTGTGTCTCTCTGTGTGTATGCAGAAGTGTACACACATGGGGGGGGAGAGAAATAGAGAGAGAACTAGGTATTAAAATGTAATCCAGGTTCCTACCCCTGCTAGTTTTTTAGATATCACAGCACATTTCAACCTGTAGGTGACTTCATGATGGCATATATAACAAGGATCTTCTAGATGGCGTGTAAATATTCTTCTGTCTCTAGAACCCTACATTTTTAGTGGTACTTCTTACACATCAAAAAAGCAACTTGCAAGCTCAAGATAGGGCTTTCCTCCTGTCCCAGTGAACTGTCAGATTTTATCTGGGGCACAGCAGTGTATTTGAGGAACATTACCACTTGGTGATAAAAGAAGATCTCTGATATCAAAGGACGGAACGCAGTAAAGCCTAAAGCCAAAGGATGCACAGTAAGGACAGATGCTTGTGAAGTTTCTTTTCTTTTTTTAAACTTGGGTATGTACAGAGCACATATCATCATAGCAGCTGGGAAGGCATACACTTTTATAAATTTCTGCTTCTGTTGGCAAATGTGAGGAGCCAGACGCCTGATTCTTTCTCAATCAATACTTCTGTTTCCTCTGCCAATAAAACAGGGCTTTAAATGTCAATATACAATTGACAACTGATGATTAGTGACGGATGAAATTATCACATTCTGATTTCAAATTGGCTCTGACATTCCAAGCTTTCTTGGAGAAGTCTCTGATTATTTTCTCCTTCCCACTCTCAAGAGTTCTGAGCAAAGCCAGCCCTACCATAAGGCAGAGTGAATCAGCTGTCTCAAGCAGTAGATGCTGGATGGAGGGGGGGAGTCCAAGTGGGGTAGTGGAATGATCTCAGGTGCAGAAGAGCAGGAGTGGGAAACCATTGGCCCTTGCTGAACTACAATTCCCACCATTTTTGTAAAAGGAGAAACATTTGTCAGAATGATAAGTTAAATTCTTCAGGGGAGCAAACTCTGATCTGACAAAATATCTTGTTTTAATAGCTGAACTGGAGGTGGTCATCTTCTCAATCCCCATTTCCAAAATCGGCCAGCATCACTATTGATGTGAAACACCAGTGTCCTGTACATATTTGAGCCAAAATACAAAAATTATCACATACTTTGTTGTTGTTTAGTCGTTTAGTCATGTCCGACTCTTCAAGACCCCCATGGACCAGAGCACGCCAGGCACTCCTGTCTTCCACTGCCTCCCACAGTTTGGTCAAACTCATGTTTGTAGCTTCGAGAACTCTATCCAGCCATCTTGCCCTCTGTCGTCCCCTTCTCCTTGTGCCCTTCATCTTTCCCAACATCAGGGTCTTTTCCAGGGAGCCTTCTCTTCTCATGGGGTGGTCAAAGTATTGGAGTCTCAACTTCAGGATCTGTTCTTCCAGTGAGCACTCAGGGCTGATTTCCTTCAGAATGGATAGGTTTGATCTTCTTGCAGTCCATGGGACTCTCAAGAGTCTCCTCCAGCACCATAATTCAAAAGCATCAATTCTTCGGCGATCAGCCTTCTTTATGGTCCAGCTCTCACTTCCATACATCATTACTGGTATCACATACTAAGTGGCCCTAAAAGTGCTAATATCAAACTGGTTTAGGGATGAGTCAAACACTCAGTGCTGTTTTTCTAGAAAAAGAGGTGCTGGAACTCAACATGAACACTTCCCCTGTTCTCTTATAATGGCAATGGCACCCACCTGAGAGGAATCAGAACTGAGTTCCAGTGAGTTCTGGCTGGGAAAAAAGCCCTGCACTTAATAATTTCTGTTGCAACCTGAATGCCCATGCTAATAGTCTAATAGAGCAAACAGCAACTGACAATGGCACAATATGCCACTCCATTAAATTTCCCACCCCAGGCAACTGCCACATCTGCCCTCCCATCTCTAACAATGAATAGCATTGGTACAGCGTTGAGAACATTATAGGTTAATATGAAAGTAAATGCAAGAAGATTGGGCATATTTTACATTGAAGGAGAATGGGTTTAAATCCCTGATAGCCTTCACAGCTTAGGCAAAAGGAAGTTTTTCACTCTGAAACAAGCTTGCACATCCACTTCACATCCCATCTCACCTTTTTAATGTACCTGCCTAAGCAGCTATAAATGTGGGCAAGCCACTGGTGCCTTTTAAGACAATTGCCTATTGTTATTTTTCTGCGCACATTAGGCCTTTTCAGTTTTGATGCATCACAGAAAACCATTTTTCAGTTTCTATTTCAGAGTGCACCTTGTTAACAGCTTCCATTGATCCCAGCAGAGAGAGTGAAAACGAAGGGGAATGCGCAGACGTGTGGCACAGAAAATTCGATACAAAGTAAGTTTCTAGTACAGCGAAGAGATTAAAACTGCTTCTGACACCCTTGTGATGCTATTTCTCTATTGGTCCCCCCTACCCCAATCTTTCTTTTGGAATTGTTGCTGCCACTGAGAAATAAATACAGCTCTTGTTAACTTGTAGTCCCTAGTTCAAATTAATGCATGTTATTTCCAAAGGTGGAAGAGGACCCTTGATAGAAGGACAAATATGCCTTAGGTCTGTGTGTCCTCCTCTCATGGCCACATTCTGGCCTTCAGGCAGTTAGCATTACATTTCGGCTGAGGCAAAGTAAGGGGTCCACAACACAAGGTCTCAGCCACCTGAGGCACAAATATACTTTTACCATGTCCTATACTTTAGGACATGGACATTTCAATAATTACTTTAGGAAGCATGAATGTGAGAAGGCTTAATTTCCTCAAACTTGTAAAAACACACACATCCAGGTGATTGCACACACCTTTTGGCATGCCCTATCCCTTATAGGAATTATTTGCGGAAGGACTGTAGTGCAGTGGTAGAACATCTGCTCTGCATGCAGAAGGTCCCAGCTTCAATTCCCAGCATCTCCAGGTAGGGCTGAGAGAGATACTTGTCTGAAACCCTTGCTACTGGTTGCTGCCAGCCAGCACAGATGGTACTGACTTTGATGGACCCATTAGCTCAGTCCGTATAAAGCAGTTTCCTATACAGCCATACCTCGTGTTGCGTTACGTTCATGATGGCCTGGTCAGATTTTTTCCGTAGGGGATATGGCAATTATTTATGGGGAGGAGGGAGGAGGCGCTGGATTCCGTTCCTTTCCATTCTCTCTCCCCCACTTTCCCCCCACTATTGATTATAATTATTGTTACCACTTCCAGTGAAAACCTCAAAATGATCTCACAATACGACAAAAACAAATGCAAAACAATTGCATATCTAAAAACAACTAAATCAATCATACACACATATTTAAACAATTGCATATTTAAAAACAATTTCATATCTAAAAACAATTCCCCTTTGCCCTTTTAAAATGTGTTTTTTTGGGGGGTGAGGCTATTGTTTTATTTTTATTATGTATTTTGGACTGGGATTTTTTTTAAAACCTTTCACTTAGTTGTTTTTTTTTACATAATATTTATTACTTTTCCAAAAATTTAAACACTAAAAAGACAATACAATGCAATACAATACATTAAACTAACAAAACCAAACAAAAACAATAAAATAAATCAAACAATTTCATTATCCCATCTTTCATTCACTTATTTCCATGACCTCCTCACACCTCCCTTTTTGTATTCCACTTCTGTTAATTATTTCAGCAATTCCTTTCCATCTTCCTCTGTTTTCTATCCTATAATTATCTTAACTCAGTCTAACCTTATTTTTCCCTTTAATGCTCTATTAATCTATTTATACTTAATTCCTTATAACATTTCTACTAAAGCCATATAACTTAATTCCAACATTTTTCTAACATTCATTAATTTTACAGTATTTCTGTAAATAGTCTTTAATTTTTTTCCAATCTTCTTCCACCGACTCTTCTCCCTGGTCTCGGATTCTGCCAGTCATTTCCGCCAATTCCATATAGTTCATCAACTTCATCTGCCATTCTTCCCGGGTGGGTAAATCTTGTGTCTTCCATAAAACCTTTCACTTAGGAAGCCAAATGTGATCATCTATTATCTGTTCAGGGCTTTGTGTATGTAGTAGCTTGCCGCTATGTCTATCTGCACAGTTGGTATTTGGCCAATAAAACTAACTGCTGTACAGTCAGGGGCCCTTGACTGATTTCACTTGCATGCCTTCCTGATTTTATTCACAATGTCTTTTTCTACAGGCATATTGCACTGTGGTCAGCAAGAAAACACTGACAGTACAACTTCGTTTCAAAATCAGTAAATGTTTCTAAATTAATAGTATAGAAGCACAAAGATGAATTGTTAAAGGTACACGGGCTGAGCTGTTTGGATTGACATGGTGGAAGAGGAGTGAACAAAGGCTTTGCTGACCTTTTCTCCCAAGGTGAGGGTGTGTGACCTAGCTAAACCTTGGAGGACTGCTTACTCTATGGTCTTAACCACTTCATGCATTAACCAGAGCTAAACGTTATATGAGGCTGATATTTTCCCCACAGTTGCTGTGTGCTGTTTGCGAAAGCCCAGAGAGATGATGAAAGGAGAAATCCATAGGATGTTATTATTATACAAGCTGAGAAAAGAGGTGACCAGAATATTAATGAACAACGGAATGCATTTATTTGTACACATTTATAAACCCACCCTTTGCCCAATGGTGCCAGAATGGGGGGGGGGTACATAGAACAATAAACTACCAATTTAAGAGCAATAATAACATAAGCACAGATACCCAATGACTTCTGCAGTCTGTCATATTTATGACTGACATACACTGAGACAGCAAACCCATCGCCACAAGAGTCTATCCACACAAATCAGGGCATAATAATGCTCGATCAGATCAGATGTTGTTAGCTTAGACGCTGCTGAAGCCTACAAAACTTCAAATTAGATCTCAGCAGAAGGAAGACAACATATTTTATTTATACTCCTGGGCTTTTCCATGGACCTGTCAATACATGCCAATTTTACTAGGTGCAAGGTTTTGTAATAGTGAGATGTACTCCTGAATCTCCTTGGATTTTAATGCTCATTGGCTCAGACAGGTAATCAATAGCAGCATCTCGGAAGGACCATAGATATTGACTTTGGTCTCCAAAAGACTTTATAAAGAGTCGTTTGGGGGATACTTTCACTTCAAATTGAATTGTGGACCATTAAATCTCTTTAGTAAAAGACTGAAACTAATATTTGATGCCAATGCGCCTTTTGAATTTTTAAAACAGGACACAAATGCTGGCAGCTGGGGACAAGGATCCTAGCACATTCCTCAGCCATATTTCTTTCTTCAGTGGATTCTTTTAATTGCTATAGATTTTCCCGCGGGTGAAATGACTTTGCTAAAAGTCTCAAACTCGTTATTCACCTTTCCCTCACAATAAACAAAAGAGGAAAAGGGCAGCTGCTCCCTGCCTTGTCCTTGTTTTCTCTCACGTGACCCCATTATGTGTGGGATGCTTTTATTTTAACTGCTCAGTTGGTCTCTTCACTGCCGCCCCTTTAATAAATTATTTAAAATTTTCTCTAGATGCTTGCATTTTACTCTAGATGTGCTATTTGGATTTTTTTCCTGCTTTCTTGTAGTCTTTAACCCTCTCCTTTTTCCCTTTTCTTAACTAGGGCAAAGTTCCTCCTTTCTTTCAAACTCCCTTCTCATTTTAATTCTTAAATCAAAACAGTGCCTTCCCATGAGCAAGATCACTTGTCTATAAAAGTGTATGAGTTCTGTACCATTCCTACCACATGTTGGGCCTGTTAACCTTATTATTTCAATTTATTGCCCACTCTTAATATACAGCCCCTAGTTCCTCCTGAAACTGCTCCATCCTTCCACCCTATTACAGTTCCTTCTTTTCTCTTGTCTTTCTTGAAATGGGCTGATCATCTTGGCTCCAGTGCCTTCCCCTCTTTCTATGTGGTTTCAGAACATCTGGGACAGCATTTTATTCAATAAAAATAAACTTACTTATTTTATTTTGCTTCCCCCCTTGGTTGTACAGCTTGCCAGAAAGCTAGCTGATAACAAATTGGTAGGCTTATGTTCAATATGCATATGCATGTTCATGAATAAGACACTAAAGTCACAAAGGAATTGCTCTCATATCATTTCCAAACAGGGGTTGTGTTGGCCTGTTGTACTAAAAAGAAAGGAAAAGTCACCTGTTTGTGAATAGACTCATCAAATGCAACAATGCTTACTTTGGAGCCGATCTGCATAGGACAGGAAATTTTAATCTGAGGCAGTCATGGTGAAAATGGAAGCAGTGTGGCATCTATTCTAGATGAATTCATCCAGAACACTTTCCCCCTCTCAAGCTCTGCCCACTGTTGGCTCATCACGGAATGGCTATCAGTAACCATTTCCTATAAATTTAATGGCAGAAAAAGACTTTTCAAATGTTGAAAGACTCCAGCAGGCTTCTCCAGGGCACTCTTTCCATCCCATATGTTTCTCTACTAGTGGCCAAGCAAGAGCCTTTATATGACATCTCAGCCTCAGGACTAGGGCCAGGGGTATAGTAATGCCAATGAGTGACTGCTATGCACCAGTGCTGGCCCCAGGGTTTGTCATCAGTGAAATGGCACCAGGTGATTCATTGTGCCAACAACAGTTAGTAGATGCGATGGTGACACACAGGCCCAGGCTGGCAGGATTTTGGTAAGTCAGACTACTTGAAAACACAAACTCAGATTTTAGGCAGCTTCTTCAAATGCTACAGCAGCAGGCAACACAACCAGTCAAATGGGGGGAAATATAAGCGTTGGACCCAACACCTGCCCTCTGCTGTTTCCCTGTAACATCATCTCTCTCCCCCCCCTTTAAACAACAGAATTATATTAACAGATGCAGAAACCTTGATGTTGTCCAGATTGTCATTCTGTGCGTCTCTTGTAATGCTTCAGTCCTAGAGCTGCACTCCACAAAGGCGCTGCTTCAAAACAGGAGTGTTTGGCATGTGCTGGAGCAGGAAGGCATTTCAAAAGAGCTGCATTGATCCAGGCTCTTCTGAATGACACTGAACATAAGCCCAGAGTACTTGACAGGTGGCAGGTTAGGTTGGTCTGGTCTCCCCAGGATTGACCACAGCCAACTTCCTCTTTCCCAATTCACTCAATAGTCCTGATCTGCATATGCAGTCTTTTCATCACAGAAAACGGCTTCATAATGCCACTGAGAAAGAGTTCAGAGTTCTCTGACAAAGCATCAGATTCTCTAGGATGCAAAACATGAAATAACTCAATGTGCCATCCTCCACATTTCATCACTGCCATTTCCACCTACACCAGCTGTTGTGTTCTCCTTGACTTGTTGATGATCCTATAAAGAAGTATAGGATGCAACAAATATATGGTTTCGAACCAGAGCAAGTTAGTTGTAATCAGGTCCAACTGAAATCAATGGGACTTAATCACAACTAACTTTTCACATTGGCCGCAATTGAACCCAAGGGCAGCGGATCCAACCCTTTGTGATTTTCAAAGTCCAAATCAAAACCACACATTCACAATTGAATTGAAGTGTGCTGTGCAGCTGGCAGGATTGCAAATACATATCACCATCAGATAATTTAATTAATTGCATAATTAAGCTAACCATGAGCAATAATGTTTCTTTTATTCATTGAAACATGTATACCCTTCCCTTCTGGTGGAAAAACATGACCTAGGGCTTGCAACATTAAACAACATTCAACATTGCAGTTTCAAAAACCCCCACAAAAAACACAAAAAACCCACAGAAATATAAAATAACCAAGGACAGGAACTACAATTTAAAAGAAAATGAAAAAGAAGCATAAAAGCATTCTCCACCACACATGACAAAAGCCTACCAGAATAAAACAGTCTGAATAACTGGTGAAAAACAGCAGGGGGGGGGTGTGAACCGAACTACAAAGGTTCCTTTATCTAGGTGCACTAACTCTCTCTCATCCCACTCA